GGTCCCTGGAGGAGACTCGGGGGGCCAAGCAGCACGCGCTGACCCGCGCCGAACCCTCCGCTGCGCTCTCGGTCCGCTCTCCCGCGCTCCGCTCTGCTCGCGAATGTAACCTGAGCCCTGCGGTCTGGAAGCCAATCACGAGTCGCCTCGGACAGGGTGGGCGGGGAAACTGGAGGAACGGCCACGCCCCTCCGCCGCGCTCCTGCCCCAACCCCTCCTCCCACACATTTCCATCCACTCCTCCTACACACTCAGCCTCCCCTATCCAACCTCTTGCTGCTGAGGCGGCAGACTGCCAGGCAGATGGAGGCCCCCTACATCCCAGGCGCAAACACACATCTGGGCACAACGCCCTCCCACCCATATATGGAAAACCGCGCACCACCCCCACCCCCCGCCTCCCCACACTTCCACAACCTAGCCAGAGTCCCTCTAGCTTCCCTCCCCCTCCGTCCTCAAAGAAAAGCCCCAAATACGTGTGGTTAAAAAGTCCCACCAACACAGCTGCGGAATGGAGAACGCTGTCGGTATACAACCGGCTCGTGGACACACAAACACAAATGTTCACAAGCCCACGTGTCTATATATGGTTCCCCCAGGTTCACTAAATGTGCACTTCAACATGCAGACCCTGTATACAGACACAACCCGCAAAAATAACTGCACAGGCCTCTACACAGTCAGTCGCCCTAACCCAGATGTCTGCATTACATTTCTGTTATCCATCCTTCTATCTCCATCTATCTGTATGCGTTTCTCCAAACAAAGTCTTATGTGCACGGCACTCATTTTGTATGTGTTCATATATGGATACTGACTTGGGAAAAGGACCCTTTCCTCCCACTTTCTGTACCAGAGGTTCCCTAATCGCTTGATCCACTGCTTCAGAGTAAGAGGAAAACTGGCCACTCTCACTCTTCCCCTGGGAAGACAAATAAATACCCTAAACCCCAGTAACAGGCATTGAAGCCATGGCTCTTTGGGTCCACGAAGGAAGGATGCGGGCTTCCTAAGAGGCTGGGAAGGGAAGATATGGCCAGAACATCTAAGAGGAGCAGCCACCACTCTTGTGGTCGCCAGCCTCCCCCACCCTGTCAGGGTTCTAGAGCAGCAGTGTGGCTTGTCATATGGATGGGGTGGGCCATGTTTGAGAAACCTATCAAGTCTTTTGCAACTCGGATCCCACAGGAGGGAAGGACGAAAGGATGGCTGCTACTCAGGCCTGTTGACTGAGACGGAACAAGGAGGGAGCATGCCTTGGGGATAAGGTTGGGGCCGGGGATTCTGAAACTGCACTGCAGTGAGCCCACAGCCGCTGGCCAGTCAGAGCGCGGCTGTTCCATGCTTCCTTCCTACCTGCACGCTTGCGCCGTGGGCTTTGCTTGCCCAAGGGAAACCGAGCAGGAGGGAAATTCCGGTACCGCTGGCCAGTCAGAGCGCGGCTGTTCCATGCTTCCTACCTGCACGCTTGTGCCGTGGGCTGTGCTTGCCAAAGGGAAACCGAGCGGGAGGGAAATTCCAGTGGCCACTCGTGATGCGGACAGGGTTGGCCAGCTTGGGCCCTCAAGCTGAGGTGGGTGCTGGCTGGGATTCAGGGCGAGGGGTGTAAGGGTGTCTCTCCCAGCATGGTTGGGACCCACCCACCTTGTAACTGAAAATCTGTTTTCCAATCTGTCCCTGGCACATCCTCCATCCCCCACCTCCACCAAATGGCAGGATGCCCCCCGGGGGAACTCAGGCCCTCCCTTGCCAAACGGCTGTGCACATCTGGGCCCTTGAGTTGTGCCACTTCCGGTGGGACTTCAACTCCAGAATATAGAGAGGGAAAAGGAGGAAATCGGGGGCAGAGTGGATATCAGGCCTGGACTCTGTGCTTTTTCTCTTCCCAAATTAGAATTCGGGATTTAGTGAGTTTGCAGTAAAGTCTCCCAAGTTGCTAGGCAACGGTCCCTCGGCAGCCTGCGCTGCCTCTGGGCGCCCTTCCTGCTGGTCAGAGTTGAAGGGGAGAGGGTATATCCTTACATCGCGCCTCCCCCCAAACTCCCACACAGGCAGCACAGCCCTCCTCTCTTCCTAAAAGGCACTTTTGTGTGGGGCGAGGGTGTCTGTCAACACTGGCGGGCCCATGGGAGACCAGGTATGGCAACTGTCAGTTTCATCCGCAAAACAGCCATTTCAGCAGCAGCCCACTTGAGGCGCCTACGCAGGACTGGCCAGGAGCTTGCCCTGGGGGATGGGCAGGCACCCAGGCGAGGGAAAAAGGTAGCGAGGGAGACAGAGACCGTGATGAGAAGGCAGACACTCGCAAACTCAAATATCCCGAGGCAGGAGCAGCAACACGTAGGGCTTCGTGTCAGTAACACATCCATAGAGACCCAGGAGCGCAGACACACATCCTAGCACGTGCACAGAAGCGGACCCCTCCTCCAGCACGAAGCCAGGGACATGCTTCCCCTGCTAAGGGGTTCCTCTCCTGGACCAGGAGGCCAGGGTTTGTCAGCAAGACAGTTTCATCCGCACTCTGAGCCTCTGAGCCTCTGAGCCTCTGAGCCTCAAGTGGATGCGCTAGGAAGAGGGACCCCAGCAGCAGGAGCTCGGGGTCTGGCCGCCTGGCTCGCTGAGACTCTGGACCTTTCAGAGCAGGGCCAGGTGAGGCTCCCCGCTGAGGACTGCTTGGCCAGTGGCCTTGGTGTCAAGTTCAGCTTTTGGAGAATTACCTGTTATTAACCAGCTGGGCCTGGGCCCGTCCTGGTCCTCCTTGACTCTTGCATTTCAAAACCTCTCGCCCACCCCCGCACCGGTAGCCACTGAAGGAAAAGGACCTCAGGCAGATGAGCTCCAGAAGGGCCAGATGAGAGAGGGAGCGGGGCTGTGGGTTGGTGAGCTGGACCCAGCAAGGAGCATGGAGGGGGAGGGGCACTGCCTAGAAGCCAGAGGAGGAGGTGGTTAGAGGAAAGAGAAGAGAAAAGACGGATTAGAGGGAAGCTTCTGGGGTACAAGACAGATCCTTCTTGGGACAGATGGAGGGGATTTGGAGAGAGTGTGGTCCTTGGAAGCAGAGAGAAAAGCCAAAGCACATGGCAAGCTATTTGCCAATCCTTGTGGCTCCCCCTCCTTGGGGGAGGCACGCTCTGAACAGAACATCGTCGCTCAAGCCCACAGAGGGACTCCATGACCAGCAGAGGCCTGTGCTGTCGGTGGAGCTGATCTGGGGGCTTCTTAGGTCAGGATTTCACCCATTGGAGTGGAAGGCGTGGAGGGAGCAAGAAATTCAGTTTTCTGTGCAAATATTTCAGCTTTGCTGTGGTGGTATTTTTAGCAACTTGGTTGGCAGAGGAGGAGCCCAGGCACATTTTTAAAGGGGCCGCTGCCAGACTGGAGGCCTCCTCCCACCCTCACCCACGTATCATGAAGGAGAGGGGGGAGCCACGCAGGCCTCCATGTGTGTGTTCAAAGGTAAAGTAGGTTTGCTGGGCATTGGGTGACTAATAACTCATCTTCGCCAACAGTTCTTACTAATCCTCACCAGCATCATCCTTAGCAGCATTATCCGGAAGAGTAAATACTTCTGAACTCTGTGTGCGGGGTGCTGCTAGGGACACAATACGAAGGCTTAACGCGATGTGCCCGGTAAGACTAGAAGCAACCGACTTCTGAGCGAGCACTGGGCGCCACATGCTGAGTTGGTCACACTGTCTGTGCCATTTCATTTAATTCCTGAAACACCCCTGTGAGCTAGCAGCGTGTCTTCCTATGTTACAGAGGATGAAGCGAAGGCTTCTAGGGGTTAATAACTTGCCCAAGGCCACACAGTCAGATTAAAACTCAGGGCAGAATAATAACATTATTCTAAATCTCAAGAGTGTTTTACAAAGTGCTTCCACCTCCATCATTTAATTTTGAGGGCGTAGTCGTAATGTTTAACCCCTTTCCCGCGGAGGAAACCAGGCCGAGGAAACCTCTGTTAAGTGACTTGTCCAATAGTAGACCTCTAGTGAGTGGCAGAACTAGGGCTAAAACACAGGAATTCTGACTTTAAATTCCGTGTAAGTTCGCCTCGAAACCGCTGTGTACCACTTGCACGGGGCTGTATGGAATGGGTCACAGTGGTTACAAATCAGACCTAGTCTCTTCCCTCTTGGATCTGAGAGTGTGATGATAAAAATATGTATGTACGTGCGCATATATATATGTATATCGGTATAAATATGTATCTATGTATATATGTATGAGATATATTTATATCTTCTAAAGTAATGATCGATCCAAATGAATGGTGCCGACAGTAAATGTTGTGGGAGCTGTGGTGTGGGAGACATAATGGAGAATTTGGATGATCAAGGAAGGGTTCCTGTAGAAGGATGGTTTGGAGGAAGAATAGGACTCAGAGAAGTGGAGGGGCCTGGGAACGGGCAGGAGGACACTTCAGGCAGCAGCAGTGTTGGGAGCCAGGCGCTACATTTAGTGACACTGTTAGCTTATGCTACCCTAGTCCAGAAAGGTCCGAGGACAGCGATCCTAGTCTCCTTCCCCTCACGCAGGGTTTTATGTCAAAAGCTCAGTGCCCTGACTTTATGGTGACATATTGGAACCAAAAGTGTGCTCCTGCTGTTCCTTGGAGCTCTAACACACACCTACCCCTTTCTTCTACTGGTGTGGCACGTGTCTGCTTCCTTCCCCACCACCCGCTTTTTCTCTGTGTCTCAGTGGAGTTCAAAGTCCTGGATCTGATTTGCAACTTGTTCGTATATTGCCCCAAACATCTACTCGTTCTATTCCACTCCACTTCCCTTTGCTCACCTTTCTGTGTGCATAAGAAGCTAGTGATGGCCCAACCAGCGTGGCTCAGTGGTTGAACGTCGACCTACGAACCTGGAGGTCACGGTTCGATTCCCAATCAGGGCACATGGCCTGGTTGCGAGATGTCAAAAGCTCAGTGCCCTGACTTTATGGTGACATATTGGAACCAAAAGTGTGCTCCTGCTGTTCCTTGGAGCTCTAACACACACCTACCCCTTTCTCCTACTGGTGTGGCACGTGTCTGCTTCCTTCCCCTCCACCCCCTTTTTCTCTGTGTCTCAGTGGAGTTCAAAGTCCTGCATCTGATTTGCAACTTGTTCGTATATTGCCCCGAACATCTACCCGTTCTATTCCACTCCACTTCCCTTTGCTCACCGTTCTGTGTGCATAAGAAGCTAGTGATGGCTCAACCAGCAGGCTCAGTGGTTGAGCGTTGACCTACGAACCTGGAGGTCACGGTTCGATTCCAAATCAGGGCACATGGCCTGGTTGCGACCTCGATCCCCATTGGGGGGTTGCAGGAGGCAGCCAATCAAGGATTCTCTCTCATCGTTGATGTTTCTTTTTTTTAAAAAATATATTTTATTGATTTTTTTACAGAGAGGAAGGGAGAGAGATAGATAGTTAGAAACGATGGGAGAGGAGAAACATCGATCAGCTGCCTCCTGCACATCTCCCACTGGGAATGTGCCCGCAACCCAGGTACATGCCCTTGACCGGAATCGTCGAACCTGGGACCCTTCAGTCCGCAGGCCGACGCTCTATCCACTGAGCCAAACCGGTTTCGGCATCGTTGATGTTTCTATCTCTCTCTCCCTCTCCCTTCCTCTCTGAAATCAATAAAAATATATAATAAAAAAGAGGAAGCTAGTAATGGTTAAGCAATCCTGGGCCTATACATCCTGCCTGTGAAAATTGAGCCAACACAATCGTTTTTATAACAAGGTAACAGCGATTTTGTTAACAGTTTAATAAATTCTAGCACAAACTTAATAACCACCTCAATTTTCCTGGCTCTCAGAGAAATATTTCCATTGATAATCTTGGAGGGTTTTATTTTTATTTTAAAAAGTTAGAAGTTCCTTTCATTGGGGTGGCCTGAGATCATAGTTGATCTCAGTTGCCTTGAATAATGCTTGTTTTAATTTGTTTTTTAAAAATATTTTTTGTTGTTGTTGATTTCAAAGAGGAAGGGAGAGGGAGTGATAGAAACATCAATGATGAGAGAGAATCATTGATTGGCTGCCTCCTGCACGCCCCCCACTGGGGATCGAGCCCAAAACCCAGGCATGTGCTCTTGATCAGAAACGAACCCGGGATCCTTTAGTCCGCAGGCTGACGCTCTATCCACTGAGCCAAACCGGTCAGGGCTATGAATTCATTTTTATAAAAGGATTTGCACAAGGTATCATTCTTATTCCTTAGTCCATTTAAAAACCCTTTCTCCTTTTGTGGTTTAGCCAGATGCTTAGATAAAAGAAATTCCTGGTTCTGCCAGCAATGCGCGTCAAGTAGTATTCAGGCCATTTTCTCCATCACTGTCTATCTCAGGGCAGAAGGGGGAAACTCGTATCCAGAACATGGAGACGCTCTGAAAACCGCCCAGAATGAGCATCTCTTGGAGTGTGTGTATGTGGTCAGTACCCCAGCCCCACACTCCTCCAGGCTGACGTTCTAATCTGAGGGCGTGGAATGCACTGACTGATATTAATTGGCATCTAACAACTACTGCCACATGAATGCTTTTTTTAACCTTTTTGCTTTATTTTAGAAAAATTTAAGCACACGCAAAAGTAAATAGTCTATAATAAACTCCACTATACCCACCACCCACATTCAATAATTCTCAGCTCATCATCAAACTTATTTAATCTATACTCCTAATTACCAGCTTATTCTATATAATAAAAGGCTAATATGCAAATTGTCCCCTCAACCAGGAGTTCCACCGGGAGTTTCACCAGGGGGTGGGGCCGGCCAACCACCTGTGTTCCCTCCCCCCAGCTGGCTCCACCTCCAATTGCTCCCCCTCTACCCCAATCAGGGGCTGGGCTGGCTACCAACCACCTGCACCCTGGCCAGGCCGATCAGCCCTGATCAGGATGGGCAGGCTGGACCCCACCTGTGCACGAATTTGTGTACCCAGCCTCTAGTTCATAAATATTTAAGTATGTGTCTCTGAAATATAAGGACTCTTTAAAACCTATTTTTTAAAATATATTTTATTGATTTTTTACAGAGAGGAAGGGAGAGGGG